CATCAATTCTTCGGCAGTCAGCTTTCTTTATGGTCCAGCTCTCACTTCCATACATGGCTACTGGAAAAACCATAGCTTTGACTATGCGGACCTTTGTCGGCAAGGTGATGTTTCTGCTTTTTAAGATGCTGGTTTGTGTAGATGCAACTTTGCAAATCTAAACCGTGTTGCCATGTTCTTTTTAGAGAGAAGAGACTTTCTGCTGGCAATCCTTCCAAACAAACCATATTTGTTCAATCTTTTTCTAATTGTACTGTCAACTTTAACATTTAACATGCTAAATAAGGCCTATAGAGTCTGAGATGTAACTCTTAGGGGTTTTTTTGCAATTTATCTGAGCACTTACAGTCTGACCTTGAGGTGAATTTGCTTGGACATTGTGATGATTGCCCCTCGTGACCCCTGTTTCTCTTACAAACACAGAGCACATGAAGGCAAACCAAACACCTTTTCACACGCTGCCAACAGTTGATTACTAAATCAATGTACTTTACTTAGGAAAGATGAAGGTCCATTCATCACTGTCTTTTAAATAAAACAGGTTTATTGATTACAGATGTTTCTATAATAATTTATATCTTCAGGTTCATCAAGCATCAATAACAATCTTCTATATTATCTTACAGGTTACTATTCACTCCTCAGACTAATCACTCCTCAGATTGCCAAACTAACTCTCTCTCTAACTCTGACTGAACTCTACTCTCTCCTCCTCTCAGGCTCCACTTTTAACATCACTGGTGGCCCCACCCCTCAACCACATCAGGATAAAACATGAATAATGCATGACTAATTTAACATAATAAAGGTGAACGCCTCATACCTCACCCCTAAATACATTTGTTTGGGAGGGGAAACACATTTTCCATCCCAAACAAACATTCATCATTGCATGAAACTTTACTTGCCCTCTGGCACAATTTTGTAAGCAATACCACATTTACTATAACAATCACAATACCTTTTTACACTAAACATTCCACTACAATTCAATAATAAACTTTACCTTATCATTTACACTTATGACATTTAACATTTTCAACCTTACAGAAATATACCACAATCAGGAAACTTTTACATAGATAATTAGCCAGTAAATCTATAGTCCATTCCAGTTTATTTTAAACGTTCTTGCATCCTTCATGTTTCTGTCCATCAATATTCAATTTTTCATCACTATTTACCAACAGAACATTTATTATACATTACTAATTTTGTTTATCCCCCTCAGTCATTTGGCTTTCGAGGCATGATCTGTGTCTCTTTTACTCCGTGGTTTACAAAGTCTAAGTCTTTCACCTTCCCGTTGTAGTAAGGTGTGTTGTGGACTGGTCCGGTTGT